AGCGATATGACTTAGGGACTTTCAAGAAAAGAGCCTACTCTTTTTTTAAATGCAATGCTTCTGCAATTCACCTGGTGTTGTAGTTGTTCATGGGTGGCGGTAGTCACTTACCATCAGGTGAACCGCATGCTCTTTTGCCCCTTTCCTTATAAAAAAAGATGTCAACGAATCAGGAATAGTGAGAGTGGCACTAATAGTATAGTAAGATGAAAGTTTGTCATCTGGTAGAGTAAAAAATAATAACCGGGAGCTCTGGAAAATTAGATGACTGTGTGCTAGTTTGCCTTCGCCATGATATAAAAAAATCTTACGGAACAAATACAGTCCGGTATAAGAGGTGGATTAGTGCCCTCTACCAATCGACTTCTATTGTTCGCTAACACTTTAAAAGTCAGAGACCTGAAAATGATCTAAGCAAATAACACTGTGTCTTGTGGGAATCCAGGTAAGCCTGTTATTACAAAAATTCTATAGACCATATGACTTTGCCATTTTATCGATGACTATTTACAAACTGGTGTATTAATATTAGGGATTGTCAAGTGAAAACTTAGACCATTCAACCCAAGGTGAAAATAATATATCGTATCGAATTCAATAAACAGTATAGATATGTATCGCTTTAGAAGTATGAACTGAGCTCCAGAGTCACAATTATAGAGGTAAACATCGAAAAAATCCTAGAAAACAAATCTCATTTAACCAGGTTCGAAAAGTCGGTAGTCGGTAAATCGATGAAAAAGTGCCGGGACCTCATTGTAGTTCTCAATAATAGAGGTTTCTCACCTATCAAGGTTCCACTTAACCAGGTTTCCCTGTATTAGCTTATAATGTTTACTCACAACAGGATAAAAGCTTCTTTTCAGTTTTCCACACCTAACTCTTAGCCATAAAGCAACACGGGCCGCCGACGTATCGGAGGGTAGTAGCCATATACAGGTGTTCTCTTCTGTGTCAAAGTATAAGTCCACACGGTCTTATACGCACAATAAAACTAGTTGCAACCGCACCACTCACTGATTTTTTGCTGCAAAAAGAGATCTGCCTTGTCAAATTTATAAAAATATGGCGTTACTTTTCTTATGCAAGTAATTCTAATTTCTTAATGACATTAGTTAGGCTTGGGTAAAAAATATCGATATTTTCTCAAAAAATATCTATATATATCGTCGATATTTTAGTCACGTTATATCGATATTCGATATTTATTTTAAGGTATCGAATTCGTATAAATTTCGACATATTTTAAAATGATACATTAATTTAAAAACAATTAAGTAATTGTAAAAGAATTCATGTCAAACGTCCAGTAAGAAATTTTTTACCCCTCATCCTATTACATTATGCAATATAATATGCAACATGACGATATATCGATATTTCTAAAGCGATATCTATCGATACTGTTTAATAATATCGACACGATATAATATATCGATATATTTTTTTTCAGTTGACCATCCCTACCATTAGTATTTTTATTACCTACCTTATACATAAATGTATATTTTAATAAGTCATTCCTATAATATGATTTTTAATTTTGTCCTATCTGAAACAATATAAACTATAAAAAATGTGGCGTATGCAATTACTGACAATCACCGGAACATTTTATCTAGGTACATTATGATGTTTACGTTTTCGTGGTCTCCACATAATATTTTTCTCAGCATTACGTAACCTCCTGTATCTGAAGCAAAAATGAATATTGGATATGTACACGATTCTAATAAATACTATTCAACAATACGTACTCAAAAACTTAAACACTTGATAGCTGGTGAAGCCTACTAGAAGCTTCGCACCATGCAGTGGAATTGAAGACGCTGAACAATCTTTGTACACCGCGCATGCGACATGGCTCTCAGTTATGCGCATAAACAATATTTTTTGCGCCCGAAGCAAATATGGGCAACCCTCCGGAAAGCGGGGGAGGGAGGTGGGGAATGCTCATAGCATACCACGCAGCCGGCTGCGTGGTTATGTGGAGACTTTTACCCACTAAACTCCACCTTTTAGGGACTGGCTTAATAGTCTGACTAGATCTCTAAGCCGTATCGAACGCGACCCCCCTTGGGTGAAAGGGGGCGCTAGCGGCGAGTAGCCGCTGGGAAGAGTTGCTGCCTAATTAAGGCAGCTTACGAATGGGATGACTACTTATATTGAGTTTAGAAGGTGTTGGTGCTCGGTAAGTGCGAGCAGACGGTCTTGAGGGGACTGAGAAGCGCGCAGTTTGCGTGCTAAAATTGCGATCTCTCTTACGTCGATATTGCGGATAGCAGTGTATACTGTATCAACGTTATCGGCGTAAGAGGGTTCCGCCTGATGTCGGGGCCCTATTGGGCGAAGGTGAGGAGGCCTATAGGGTCACTGAGGGGGCTGATATAGGTCCTGAGGTGATTGGGAGTTACCCTGAAGGGGCTTTTTGGATGGGAGAGCCGGGAATGTACCTTGACCGGTGGCGGAGCTTTTTTGACAGCTTTGTTGCCGAGATTGGTGCGAGGCGCGCGAGGGCAGCCTCTGAAGTTGGCCGTATGGCCGGTCTGTCCGCAAAGGACGCAAGCGGGTGGGTACTCGGTATCACGGGGCCGAGGACACTCTTTCGAGCTGTGCGGGTCTAGGCACTTAACGCACCTGGGAGGGGCTGAGCAGTTGGCCGCCGCATGCCCGTAGAGTTGGCAGCAGTGGCACTGCGCCGGAAAACCGCGCCTATAGGGGGCTTCGACTTTGACTCTCGACAGGCCGCACACAGTGTATACCTGTCGGAAAATGTCTTTCGCCTCCAGCACGTTGGACAAAATGAGGAGGGCAAGCGAGTACCTCTTGCCCCTACTGCTGTGCATCTTGTGCACAGCCTCAACTGGGAATCCCTGGGACTTAAGGTCCTCCAGGATTTCCTCGTTGGCGAGTTCAAAGGGAACTCCGCGGAGGACAGCCCTGACTACGATAGGGGTGTGATAGGGCACACCTTCGGATGTGAATAGTTTGGTGATGTTTCTAAAGTCTTCCATAGACTGCGGAATGATTTTAATTGACTCACCAAGGTTGGTGGCTTGGTCATATTTAAAGCCTGCGTCGTAACAGGCTTTGGAAAGTCTAGTAAATTGCGCCTTGTCCCTGAGAAAGACAGGGGGCGGGACCTGTTTCTTTGTGGCAGCGACGGGGGCTGCGGTGGATTGAGCAGGAGCGGGGGCTGCGGGGGCGGTAGTAGCGCGAGAGGTCGCAGCGCGTTTCGCACCGCGCTTGGATTTCACTTCCGTAAAGGGGGTCGTATCTATAACTGATTGATCGGACTGTGATGAGTCCGAGGAGCAGCTACTGGATGAGATTGACGTAGGAGCGGACCTCTTACGGGTGGAAGTTTCAGACACGGGGTCCGAGTGCTTCATGGCTTCGGAGTCATCCTCTGCTAAGAATGACTTAACCACGGGCGGAGGGCTGCATGCCTTAGGGGAAGTGGGGACATGTGTGGGGGCAATAGCCCTTTGGAGGAGGGTGTCGTCGACATTGACGGCTATTCCCTTATCTTGGCAATAATGACGGATCACGGCCGCTATCACGCTCGCAACGTGGTTCATATCTGTGGCAGACATGTTGATCTGGACAGGGGGGTGACGATTTATTCTAAGAATCTAGAGGTCCCTGTTCTGAGAAGAACAGGGCCTTGGGTGGCAGATGGGGAGGACTGACGTTCTATTCCCAGAAGCTGTGGTCCCTATGTTCTGAAAAGAACAAGGGCTCGTTCTGAGAAGAGCAAGAGACGATCTTCCAAGAACAGTAACAACAACAAAGTAACAGTATAACAAAAACAATAACAGAAAAATTAAAATAAAACAAAACAAATGCAAAGTGCGCTCAAACCTCCCCGCCGGAGCGAGGGGGCAAGAACGATGCGAAAAACAAAGGAACTCACCAACGGCGTCTGCTCGGCCGGTGTTAGCTGGGGAGAGCGAGGCGCGCGGGCGAGAGGTTGCACTCCGCACGAGGTCGGAGCACGAACTCTATGCACGACCGCTCGGGGGCGGTGCGCAGACGGAACTGCGCATAAACAATAGGCAGTATACCACTTATATACTTGTTACCACTGCAGTCTTCAATCTTTGCACTTGTCTAAGTAGTACAGAGCATAGCCGCTAGACGGAGTTGACATCGGTTATTTCTGCGGTCCCCGTTTTGTCAAGGTTATTCAGGCTTAAGTGCTAATTTACCTACTACGTGTTCGGCAGTGAATAAAACGTCGTGAGGAAACTTGTATGTCGGAGAAATAAAATATTTCGACTAATTACTCTATAACCCTCTCAGAAATGAGAGGATAATACTTTAATACCGCTTGTTTGTTTAACACTGTAACTACCACTGTTTGTGTACCACTTGTTGCTTTTGCCACAAATATAAATATCCTAACAGAATACAAAAAACAGCAAACACGAAGGCAGTTTTGATTTCCTAAAGCATACTAAACGTTATCCATGTCCGGATGAACCGCAAAGTAATATATACATATCGTCAGTGAAGTTCTAACAGTGCGTAAGTCATTTTTTGGCGGTTTCAACATTTTAACGCCATTCGGTGAATAACGATAATGCGCCTTCTTTTGACCAATCAGAAAAGAAATAGCTAACCAATCACGCCGTATTTTTCGATTAAACTGACACCACGTAAGTAAACATACAGGCCAACACAGCGTAAGTCAGTCAGTCAGCATACATATTCGTAACTTGCAAAGTGTACTGTGAGATTTATTGCTAGCAAAGGTAATTATTTGCGTTACTCAATGGTATACTTACAATAAAATTATTTTTTATTTAGTGCTTAAGCTACATTACATAAAACATTTATGAATTATTTTGAAATAACAATTATAAATCGCCGAATTGAAAATTGTTTGACTTACGCAGTGTTGTCGACATGAGTTACGTAGTGTTATTATAACTTTTATTTTCTTGCAGGGCTTATAAATGATGGATGCTACAACAAGTAACAGTGAAGATGAGGAAATGATTTTAGATTTGTGTAAAGAATTGAATATTAGAGTTCCTTTAAAAAAACAGAAACAAAGAAATATACCTTTATTGGAATTAGAAAATATAGACATCAATAACTTGACTATTCAAATACTACCTGAATTTCCATCTCCAAGTATTGATGAAATTCCTCAATTTTTAAGTAAAGAACTATCGCAGAAACCAGTGACGATTTCAACTGATACAGAACGAATAGCTCAATATTCTGTTGAAGAAATGTCACAAGAAACATTTCCAACTTTATATGAAGAACTGCCACAAAATTTAGCTCCGCCTTTAGTGAAACAGTTGCCACAAAAATCAACTCCACATTTAAAAGTACAAGTGACCCAGATCCACCTCCATATTTAATTGAAGAGCAGCAGCCTCTATCAACGACTGTTACAACTTCTTCTTTATTATTAAAGAAGCAACCGTCGGATGATGAATATGGAGATCTCAATTCAAATAGAAAAAGAAGATTAAAGGGGTTCGGAAACTCTAAGAAATGGGACAAATCAATTACAAAAATTAAACGTATGAAAGGGATATCGTAGAGATAAGGTTTTAGGAAATGAGAAATTCAAAGTACTCCATGACATACCTCGTCCAGCACGTGAAATGGGTCCAAGGTGCACTTCTACATTTTCTACCAAGTCTAAGGTCCGTGGTTGTTCAAGCTTGACTGAAGATGAAAGGCAGAATATATTTTCTAAGTTCTGGAAAGACATGTCATGGGAGCAAAAAAAAACAGTATGTCGTATCTCATGTCTTGATTTGTGAGTAAAAGCAAGTTAAAAATACAATAAATTCTGGAAGGTATGATAGCAAACAATACTTTTAGAATATGTCTATTGGACGAATTCAGGTGTGTATGCAGACATTTTTAAAGACTTTAGGGTTAAAAGAGTCTACTGTAAGATGCTGGGTTGCATCTTCTGGGCAGGGGATAGCAAAAACTATTACTAATGACATCAATGAAGAATGAACTATCAAGAAAGATGACGTGGCTTTTCTCAAACAATTTTTTGCTTCGTTGCCTAAAATGCCATCGCATTATTGCAGAGCGAGTACATTAAAACAATACTTAGAGCCGATTATTGATGACAAATTCGCGTTGTACAGATTGTATACCATAGAGTGTGAAAAACTGAAAGAGCTCCTCTCAGCCGCTGGACCCTTTGCAAAGTATTTGATGAGCCTGTTTACACCAAAAAAGGGATCAATGCGACACTTGCTGCTCACACAAAGTGGGAAATATAACTGATGATAAATATAACGCTCATATACGCTTAAAGGACATGGCCAGAAATGAAAAATTAAGGGATAAAGATAGAGCTCAACAATTCGGTGATATACATATTTTTACGCATGACCTACAAGCTGTCAAGTTGTGTCCTCAGTTACAGGCCAGTGCTCTTTATTACAAAACTAAACTCTGCGTACATAATTTCACAATGTATAATCTAGCAACCAAAGATGTCTACTGCTACTGGTTCGATGAAACAAACGCTGATCTAACAGCTTCCGTATTTATTTCATGTATCATACACATACTGAGAAGAACTTTAGAGCAAAAATGTGTTCCTATTATCCTTTTTTCTGATGGTTGTACGGCACAGAATAGGAATGTTTTCCTTAGTAATGCACTTTTGCAATTAGCAATAGAAAAAAATGTCATAATCGAACAAAAGTTTTTGGAAAAGGGACATACGCAGATGGGAGTGTGACGCAGTGCACAGTTCCATCGAGCAGAAAACCAAAAATAAGGAGATCTTCCTGCCCTCTCAATATGCAGTACTCTCCAAGGAAGCTAGACCTAAACAGCCTTATATAGTTGAGTATTTGAGTTACGAGTTTTTTTGAGGACTACACTCAAAAGAATACATTTGTTTATGACTCTATACGGCCAGGTCGAACAACCAACGATCCTACTGTCACAGACTTAAGAGTTTTACAATATAACTCTAATGGAATAATCAAGTACACATTAAGCTTTGATGCATAATATCAAGAGTTGCCTCGCGGCAGAACGCGACGTAGGATGCTGATGATCCCTGAAAACCTACCCAGTAGACCAAAGCTTTACCAAAGTGCAATAAAAATAGCTGAAAGTAATAGGCGACATTTGCAAGAATTGAAGGCCGTCATTCCTTTCGACTGGCATAGATACTACGATTTTCTACCTCATTGATACGTTATTTATGGATTCCTTATTATGTTGTTGGTATAGGCAAATACATTTCAAAACTTTTTTGAATTTTTTTAAGGTTTAAGTATTTTGATTTGACTTATAGTTTAAGTTTATTTTGATAATTTTAAAACACCCAGTTTGTGTTGAAAAAAAATGTTGATTAGAAAAATAATGTTGTTATTTTGATAATAATAATATAATGTCTACATTTTTATCTTTACTTGTGCAATATCTTTCATTTTTGTAAGTTCCTTAAACATAACACAAATTTGATTTAACTTTTTGTAATTACTTTCCAATTATCTGACTAAGAAACATGACATAAGTCAAAGCAAATTTTAATGAACAGAGCAGAAGTCACGATAATACCTTATTAACAAAAATAACTTTATATAAATCGTATTTTATTTCTTTAATAACTTAATTTTAAATACGTTTTCCCAATAAGTATACCTCAAATACAGCTAATAATAATTTTACACGCTTATTTTGCTCTCCTGTAAAATAGACATTTTGACTTTCGCACTGTTAGAACTACACTGACGATATATTTTTCAATGTAGGTCCTTTTAATCTACCGTTCGCCACCGTACAGAGAATAGGGTTCTACGTTTGGTAAATTTGGTAATAGCAGACTTTTCGATTAAGTGATTACTTAATACCTTTCGATAAAAATGTCAAAACTATAAGTCAAATAAAGTAAAGCTAATGCCTTATACGCCCTGCTTATATGAGCACAGGCCTCCTCTCATTTCTGAGTTCTGAGAGGATTTTAGGGTAAAGAAATGTCCGCCGTACTGCGCCTATGCGTGTCGGTAAACGTTACGTTTGTTCGAAACAAATTTATTTATTTATTAGATTGTACATGCCGATTTTCTTTAAGTGCTCAATGGGAAAGAAAAACATCTTAATCTTATTTTACTTAAATTTAATTTTATTTTAAAAATTATTTTTAAAAAATAACGAGAATGGGCGTATAGTTTTATAGTAGAGTTAGTTGTAAGTATGGTTTTTGTGTGGTTATGATATTGCCACTTCACTCAAGTGTGAAAAAAAATTATTATAATTTCCTGATTATTTTTTCCCGATATATTTCATAAATAAATATCAAGGGCCTTACATAGCGGTTTAATATATATATATATATATATATATATATATATATATATATATATATATATATATATATATATATATATATATATATATATATATATATATATATATATATATATATATGGGTATGTATATGAATATGGATTTCACCGAATACGAATATTCGGCGGGATTAGCGCCGGACCCAGTCCCTCGCTCCCACGCCGCCACCTGACATACCAGGCGGTCCCATAATGAACTGGCCTGATATAGTTCAACGCGACATGTCGCTACATGTTGTGTTGCATTAAATAGTACGTTTATCGTGCACTTAATATAAGAAACGTGCATCGACATGAAATGCTTGGTCTTAGTTTAACAGGCGTTTGAATAACGAGAGTCGCGTATTTTTTCAAAATGTCGAAAACTGAGTTTCGAAGTGTCATAAAGTTTCTGTTTAAAGAAGGTTTATCCCCTGCCCAAATAAAAGAACGATTAGATGGCGTGTATAAGGATTCTGCCCCCTCCTATAGCACAGTGAAAAATTGGGTGAAATAGTTTCGCCTCGGGAGAGAAACCGTCGAAGACTTTGGCCACGACGGTCGACCTGTGGAAGTGATCACTCCCGAAACGATTGCTCTTATCGAAGAGGAGGTTCTGAGTGACCGCCGTTTGAAGATTAGAAAAATTGCAGCAAGGCTTGGGCTCTCTAAGAGTACCGTTCATCGCGCGATCCATGAACATCTTCACATGAAAAAAGTGAGTGCAAGATGGGTACCGAAACTTCTTTCAGCGGTACAGAGACAGGAAAGAGTGCGCTGCGCTTCGGAGTTTTTGGATCTTTGTGGCGAAAATCCAAAGACTGTGATCGAGCGGCTAGTGACTGGTGATGGAACTATGATCTTGTATTATGATCCATAAACCAAGCGCGAGTCAATGGAATGGCGTTATAAGGGTGAAAAGCCCCCTAGAAAGGCAAAGGTGCAACAATCGACTAAAAAACTGATGTGCACAATATTTTGGGATTTTCAAGGTATTTTGATGGTGGATTTTAAAGAACGTAATCCAGTCGTGAACGGCGAATATTATGCTTCTTTAATATATAAATTACGAGACAAGATAAAGGAAAAACGAAGAGGCAAGCTGTCTAAAGGTGTCCTGTTGCTCCATGACAACGCCCCTGTTTATACCGCTGGTGTTTCGAAGGATGCAGTTCGTCAATGCGGGTTCACAGAAGTTCAACATCCACCTTACAGTCCAGACATGGCCCCGTCCAACTATTATTTATTTCCAAATTTAAAGCGGGACTTAAGAGGAAGAAAATTTTCAAGCGATGAAGAGTTGCAGGCGGCCGTCTTCAGTCATTTTGAGGATAAAAAATGTGATTATTTTTATAAAGGTTTAGAGATGTTGATTCACAGATGTCAGAAGTGTGTTAGTATTCATGGTGATTATATTGAAAAATAAAATTGGTTTCGTTTCATTTCCTTCATTGGTTCATAGTTAGGCCAATTCATTATGGGACCGCCTACGTACGTGCGTGCGGGCGTGCTCGGGCGGGCGGGCGTGTCGGTCATGCGCGGTGTGTGTGTATAATTCGGAGCATAGATGTATTGTATTCAAGAAGCTTGATGATAATGATATAGTCCGGTCAATTTAGACCAAAAAATGAGAGTGAAGTTACATAAAGTCCCAACAAGCTGAATTTCAGTGAAATTGTTCAAAATATAATTATAAACAATGTCTAGAAGTTCCCCATCATTCCCCTGTAAGGAAAAAATTTTATTCAAGGTCAAAGGTCAAAAAAATGAGTTTTTCGCGATTTTCTTCAAAACGGTAAGTTTTATCATAAAAGTACCTCAGACAAAAATTGTAGATCATAAAATTATCTATAAAAATGTATCAATACTTTGTTTCTTACGAGCCACCGTTTCTGAGATATAATGATTCAAAAAGTTATAAAAGTTGTTATCGTCATAATATACATGAGTGCGCCACGTATATACATCGTTGAGTTGTTATATCATATTATATATATATATATATATATATATATATATATATATATATATATATATATATA